TTTAATTGCAAATAAAACACAAAACGGCATGAAAGCATATATATATAAATGAGAATATTAACAGACAATTTATTTGACAAATTTATATTTTTATATAAAACAGTAAAATTAAATCCGGATAAATTTAAGATGCTAATTTCGAAAATAAAACCACCAACCGAAATAGAACACATACAAATCAAATAATATGCATTATTATAAAAGTTTCAACTTAAAATAAATCGAAATACCTCGATTTAGAATTTTCGGAAAGCAAATAGATCGAAAATTTGACTCCGAAAGCGTGAATCAACAATAACAAGAAGCTCTAACTCGAGTGTGGGACCTACGTTCTTCAAGTTTTATGTGCCGGGGGGACCCAAAATTTTTTTTTTTTTTTTTTATAATGGCGGACAGTGGGGGGACCAGGTTTTGGATTGGGGATTAGAATAATGGTGAAGAAGAAGACGGGTGAAGAAGGTGGAGGGTTTTTTTGTTGAGGGATATAACGCCAGGTTTTCTGGCGCTATATCACTGTGTCAGTGTATAACGCCAGAAAACCTGGCGCTATATTACTCTGACAGTGTATAACGCCAGAAAACCTGGCGCTATACAATAACGGTGCAGTTACCGTTATTATACAGCGCCAGGTTTTCTGGCGTNACTACACATTATTACGCTACAAGGCTCTAAATTTTACTACGCTAAAAGGGTCTACGTTTTACTACGCTAAAAAGGTCTCGATTTTACTACGCTAAAAAATAATCTAAACTAAATATAAACAACAAATAAATTTAATTGCAAAAAATACAAAACAGCATGAAAACACATATATATAAATGAGGATATTAACAGATAAATTTATTTGACAAATTTATATTTTTTTATAAAACACTAAAATTAAATCCGGTTAAATTTAACATGCTAGTTTCGAAAAAAAAAAACACAAACCGAAATATAACACACACAAATCAAGTAATATGCATTTTTATAAAAGTTTCAACTTAAAATAAATCGAAATACCTCAATTTAGAATTTTCGAAAATCAAATATATCGAAATTTTGACTCTGAAAGTATGAATCAACAATACCACGAAGCTCTACACAGATGGGGACCTACGTGCTTCAAGTTTTATGTGCCGGGGGGGCCCAATTTTTTTTTTTTTTAAGAAGGTGGGCAGCAGCGGGTATGGGGGAACCAAGAAGAGAAGGGGGAGTAAAATAATGGAGGAGGAAAGGAAACGAGTGGGCACGATGAAGGAGACGGTTCAATTTTAATAAGGGGTATAGCGCCAGGTATTATGGCGTTATACCTGCACGGTGTCAGCTTTTGCAGTATAGCGCCACATTACCTGGCGCTATACTTAACGGTGCAGTTACCGTTAATATATAGCGCCAGCTATTGTGGCGTTATACATAAAAATGTCACTTTTTTTTAACACATATTTGTGTACTTTGAGTCAAAAGGAACCACATTTTGGTTCCGGACTCCTCTTGCGAAACCTTTTGCAAAAGCACATTCCTCAAAATCTCCTTTGTACTTGCGCCTCCCAGTGAAACGAATTGGTTAATTGGGTTGCAACATCTCTGGGTGATAAATAAGGTAAGGATGCTAAGAGTTATCAATTCATTCACAAAAATAAGAAGCATGAAATTGAATCTGGACATAACATATAATTAAACAAGGGGAAAAAGCAAAATAAAAAATAAAAGAAATTGTTGACTGGGCAGTTAATTTTAAGCGAGTGTAGTGTGTAGCCATAGCAGTTGATAGTAGCCATTAGATTTTTTTAATGGTTGTGACTTTTTAAGAAGAATATGAAGCGCCACTTTTCTCAAAACACGTGTCTGAATGAAAAGCCTATTTGTAGTTCTTTTTAATTAAATAGGGTATAACTAAATTAAATAGGGTATTAGGATAAATTAGGAGGGCATTTAAGTAATTTGACTTTTAAGTTAAGGGCTTCCTGTTTTTAATATATTGTAGATAGATTGTAGATAGATGTAGATGTAGATTGTAGATATAGATAGATAGATAAATGTATATAGATTCTAGTAATGAAACACTTGCACTTTGTGTGTACGAAAGCTTAAGGGCTTTAATTTTTTGTTAGGAAAATGCATAAGTACCCTCCCCCGATCTATACCTGAATTCTCAACTACAGACTTTTTCTTTGCGGGAATCCTATTACCCCCCTCCCCCCTAAACTTATTTTAAATGGAATTATTTGCACCCTTAACGTTGACGTGGCAGAGTGTGTGTATTTCACTCTCCCAAAGGAGAGTGAGAAGTAAAAAAAAAAACGAATTTCAGATTATTTTTTATAATTTTTTATCATTTTTCTTACTTTTTTTTTCCTTTTCCTTTTCCTTTTTCTTTGTCTATTTTCTTTTACTCTTTTTTTTCGTTTCTTCTCTAATTTCGGCAGATATTCATTCACCGGCGACTGTGTCTAACCGTTTTTCTTCCATTTTTTCTTTTCACACACAAATTAAACTCTCAAAAAGATCTATTCATAAGCAAAGCAAATTACACTCAGACTTGAGAGGGGAAAAACCTTCCCACGCCGGAAAAAAATGATGTATTGAAATTTTAACTGTAAAAAGTTTTCTCAGCTTATATTCATTTTTATTTCTTTTGCTCTTCCTCCCACACATAAATTATACTTTCAAGAAAAATTTATATATATATAAAACAAAACACACTTAGATCGGGATAAAAATCTATTGTCGGAAAAAAAAAATTGCCGAAATTCCGACGACCATCATTTTATGCCGCCGGTGGCCATAACATAAAAAAAAGAGAGAATGAAATAACCAAAAAAATAAGAATAATAAGAAATAAGAAAAAAGGATAAGAAAAAGAAGAAAGAATAAAAAAAGTACTAAAAATACATGTGGGGGCGCGTGTATCTCACCACTTGCCAAGAGTTTGGTTGTCAGCGTTAAGAGTGCAAATAATTTCATTTAAAATAAGTTTAGGGGGGTAATAAGATTCTCGCAAAGAAAAAGTGTATAGTTGGAAATTCGGGTATACGTAAGGGGTACTTTTGCATTTTCCCTTTTTTGTTCGTTGCTTAAATGCAAACACAAGGCAGAAGTAAAAATATTCATGCATAGGATAATTCCACTAGCAAAATCATATATTGACATTTAATAGATTACACACTTATTTGAGAAATCAAACGAAGGAAACACGTTAACCTAATAAATTATTTAATTAGTTTTTTAGATTGATCGACTTTCATCCATCGATCAACAACGATTTTTTCCCAACACCACCGAAAAAGAGGTATTTAATAACGGTCTCGTAAAATCAATCGCCCCTAAAAAATTTGCGATAGTTTGCTCACTCATTAAAGGAAACCTAAATCATAGAAGGTAATTAGCAACAAACAATTTTTCAGTACTTTAATCTGTGACGATTTCGGGCAACCTCTCAACTAGAGCATAAATAGTACATTTTGCGATTGTTATAGTAACTAATCGAGAAAATGCATAAGTACTCCCTCACCTATATTCGAATTTTTAACTACACACTTTTTCTTTGAGGGAATCTTATTACCCCCTTAAACTTATTTTAAATAGAATTATTTGCACCTTTAACGCTGACGTGGCAGAGTGTGTGTATTTCACTCTCCCAAAGGAGAGTGAGAAGCAAGAAAAAATGATTTTCAGATTATTTTTCATTCTTTTTTACCATTTTTTCTTACTTTTTTTTCCTTTTCCTTTTCCTTTTCCTTTTTCTTTGTCTTTTTTCTTTTACTTTTTGTTTCGTTTCTTCTCTAATTCCGGCGGATATTCATTCCCCGGCGACTTTGTCTAACCATTTTTCTTTCATTTTTTCTTTTCACACACAAATTAAACTCTCAAAAAGATCTATTCATAAGCAAAGCAAAATACACTCAGATTTGGGGGAAAAAATTCATCATCGAAAAACCTTCCCAAGCCGGAAAAAAATATGTATTGAAATTTTAACTAGAAAAAGTATTCTCAGCTTATATTCGTTTTTATTTCTTTTGCTCTTCCTCCCACACATAAATTACACTTTCAAGAAAAATTGATATATATATTAAACAAAACACACTTAGATCGGGATAAAAATCTGCCGCCGGAAAAAAAAAAATCGCCGAAAAAAATGGTATTTGTGAAATTCCGACGACCACCATTTTATGCTGCCGGTGACCAAAACAAAAAGAAAGAGAATGAAATAACCAAAAAAAATGAAAATAATAAGAAATAAGAAAAAAGGATAAGAAAAAGAAGAAAAAATAAAAAAAGTACTAAAAATACATGTGGGGGCGCGTGTAGCTCACCACTTGGCAAGAGTTTGGTTGTCAGCGTTAAGGGTGCAAATAATTATATTTAAAATAAATTTAGGGGGTAATAGGATTCCCGCATAGAAAAAGTGTGTAGTTGGGAATCCGGGTATAGGTCATGCATTTTCCCTAACTAATTTACAGGTAAAAACTTATCCGCACCGGGTGTTTACACCAAGCCAATAGATATATGGCATGTGTCTTGCATATGGACTTCAATCATTTAACCATGGTAAATTATATGCATTCTCATCTAATGAAATTAATTAACTATAGTGAGTTAATATAGTTTGGTGTAAACACCCGGTGTGGATAAGTATTTACCCTAATTTACATATTAAACGACTATGCAGATTTTGGTGGATTAATTGCGATTTGTACTACTTTAGATAGTGAAAGATTTTTAACGGTTTTGATACAATTGAAGCGATTTGTTAATTAAGATATTCTAAAATTATTTTAAGAAAAATAGTTATAAAAAATAGATTATGAGAAATTTCAAGAAAAATTAGTTGTTAAATTTGAACAGTTAGATTAGTTTATATTGAAATGATTGTATGCAAATTTTCTATATTTTAGAAGAACTGTGGCTGCTTAGCTGTCTTTTAATTTTTGTTTAAGGGCATTTCGGACCTTTAACAGAATCTAATAAAACCTATCCTTTTAACTCCAAAACTGAACGCCACCGCATCAGTTGTTGCACCCAATCACTTTATAACGAAACACACGTTTGTGATTTCAGTTAATATATGTGTAATTTGAGATTGAGGCTAAGCAGTAAGCACGAACAGACTGCTGCAATTCATTCTTTCCTACTTCCTTATGTTCGCCGCTCTCTGTGCTCTTGGCTACAAATCTAAATTCATCCTCTTGAATCACTTTCTTTATTTTAACAGTTAGGCATCAAGGCTCAAAGCTTCTATTTGCTACCAACTGGTCCAAGTGTAGGTTTTAAGGCTTAATAAAAGCTTCTGCTTGCTACCAAGTTTTCCGATAGGTATGTCTACAGTTCGCTTTATATTACATATGCTATATCCAATTAATTATCTATATACTCGAATTCTGATTTGGCTTTTTGATTTATCGTAATATGGTTCAAAAGGCTGGTTCTTTCAGCTGATAGTTATTTCCTTATTTGCGATTCCTAGGTCTTTAGTGATAATCGTGCCCGGTTAGAGAAAATATTTCAAGGTTAAGAGTGAAGTCCTGTTGGGAATTGTTTGCTCTTTGGAATACTCTCGAGCATCTATAATCACTGACAAGTAAAAGATAAGGTTAGATTGCATCTCAAAATTCAATTGTAGATTCTACTTTCTTTTTTTTTCAAAATTGTAGATTCATTTTCCACTTCGATACATTCTTCAATACTCTAAAAAGGGCTTGTTATTCTAATAAATTCATTCATATTTCACAAATTTGTCACTTAGTAAGAGTACATTATGAAGTCGTCTCACTGCCAAGAAGAACAATACAAAATATGATATATGCCACCGTCTTGATCTATTGATTTTGTTACAAGTCACTCATCTTTCTCTTGAGAGGCATGTGGACTTCTACTCTTTTCGTAAGAACCTTTATCTCGAAAGAGATTAAGCAAGGCAAGTTTCCATTACACTTAATTTGGGTATGCCGCTCGATGACTTTATGATTTGACTCTTCACGGGCGGATACCCATGTCAAACAAGAGTAAACAACGGACATTGTTCGAGAGGTATGTGATGAACATGATTTTGAAATAATAATAATAATAATAATAATAATAATAATAATAATAATAATAATAATAGCAGCCTCCTATAAAATTAAAGCACGTGTTGAGAGGATGATGTACGATTTAAATCTAACAAACCATGAAAACACATTTACAATCAGCCAACATCGTACTCTTTCCGTAAATTCAAAATAAATACATATCTTGGCTAGAGAATGAAGCAAGAAAATTTCAAGTCCGAAGTTCTCGAGAAGATTGGCTGGAGGTGGATGGGAGGAGCAATAAGGGTCCACCGAGTGAAATCAATATTCAGCTGCATTGTTGTTAAATTTTGATGAAGTAAGATTTATCATATCCACCGTATTGTTTGAGGTACTACGTGCTCTGATATATTTTTAGACATTCCTAGGAGTTTAACAACCTTCATTACTTAGTGATCTTAGTTGTGTTCAAGAGTTTCTGTTAACTTCTTTCAGGTTACATATAAATTTAATCAACTTGCAGTGCCTTGGTTATTAATACTACTGGCAATATTCAAATAGTGCTATTGGGGGATGTCATTTAGTATATTAATATGAAATTATTTTGGTGTATCTATTTATCATGTGTGACAACTCATTAAATTCGATAATATATTAATATATGTTATCAATAAAAAAAAGATTCGACAATATATTAATTCACATAATAACTTGAATAACTTAGATGAACAGAAAGTTATCGAAGAAAAAGATAAAAGCCTCATTTGGTATGTCTTTGGTTCTTTACCTTAGTTTTCATGGCATTTGATATTTCTTTAGTTCTTTACCTCAGTTTCATGGCATTGCAGATTCCACAGCTTTCTTGAATTTATAATTATGTTTTTAGCCTTTAAAGGATTGCATCAGTCCGTGGCAGGACGCTGAGTATCAGTTTTGAATATGTTTTGTTGTTTTACGATGTTGTAAGCAATAGGCAGCTGGTAAAAACTACTGTATTAGTTTCAGTACTTATAAGTCTTTACAGAACAAATCAAACGATGTAAGTTATGATAAAGTTCCACAATAAATCTTTTGTTTCATTATTAATTAACAAAAAATGCTCTACTTCTCTATTATTTCCTTAAAAGTGAAGTTACTTTTATGTCAACTACAACTTTGAAAGTGGTTATTTCATGCTAATTTAACCGAGAGTTAAATTCATGTTTGTGAGCCCTGAAATGGTTTCTTCTTGCGAAGATTATCAACTTCATAGAATCAGTGAGAAGTATGAGGAAAAAAAACTTAGTTATCAAGTTCAATGAGAGATTATCTTTCAGGTTGTTCACTTCCATGTTGTCTCTTTTGTAAAGATCTTTTTCCTTATAAAATTTGCAGACATCCAGTGGCCTTAGATACCCTAATAGGGACTTTGAAAGATATTGGTTTTGAGGAACATTTCTTTGACTATACGCTAAATGAATGGTGGCTTTCGTACATTGAGTAGCAGCACAACAAAATACGAGTTCATACGCTAGGCCAACGGTTTATCAAGACTTTGTTGTGGAGTTGCTGAGTATATTATCTTATTTTTTAGGTCCAATTCTAGTATAGTGTAGGAGTTGATAGCAAGTTTTAAAATGCAAGATTGTGCCTGCACTCCTTCGTATTTTCTGCAATTCTAGCATAGGTACACATCATTAATATTGGGCTTGTGCTGGCACAAGCCATGCCCCATCTAGTAAAGATTAGAATCCATAGTTCTAGGGTTGCTTGTGGAGAAAATGACATTAACAGTTCCTTAAGTTCTGGGTAGATTTAAAATGGTCCTTCAAATATAGTTTGAGCATATTTAATCCTTTACCTTTATAAGAAATGAACAGTTTAGTCTCCGTTAACAAATACCCTAACACCGTCAGTTAGAACTAACAGATTGTATCCCATGAGATGAAATTCAGGTGAGCAAATATCTGTGACGACCCCAATCGGTTTCTTCTCCACGGTAATGCTCAAGAGTATATTTTTGTGGACAAAAGGAGTTGTAGCTTAGTAAAGGAAAGAAGGGGGGAAAGAAACAAAGGAAGGTAGACTCCATAATTCGAAAGCTTCAAATTAAGGTAAGAAGATCCTCTTATTCAAAAAGCTCAATCTATAAGTATTGAAACTTGAAACTGATATAAAAATCATGATTTTTAATGAGATATATAAGTTTTTATCTAGGGGAAAAGATTAAAATCCATTAGGAGAAGCTTATACGTTGGCAATAGGGTTTTTCTTGGGCAAATCTATCGGAAAATCTTCCTTTAAATTGAAATCCTACTGCTGTAGGCTGTAGGAAGGATGAAACCTATTAGAGAAGGATTAATTTTTTGCTAATGTTAAGGAATGATTTCTTCCTTGTGTTATCACAATTACTGTGATTCGGTTATTGTGTGATATTCATCTACTTCATATGCCTTTTCAGTTTGAGATATCAGTGTCAGTTCATATTAAAAACAATGCCATCTTGATTTTGTATGGTATAGATAAGTTTTAATCTGGCGAAAAGATTTTAATTTATAGGAGAAGCTCATAGGCTGGGAATAGGTTTTCTTTCCTGGCACATTGTTCTTTTTGATTGCATATTATACAATTTCTGTTTGATAGTAGACCTTTATTTTTTATTTCTGTAGTATCAAAAGCTACAAAAAAAAATTTCGATAAATTATCAAAAGCTACAAATTTTGGGTTAAAACTTTATTTAACAGTGCCTGCATTCCAACCAGAGGTTTCTTGATTCGAACTTGGTAAGCTGAATATAACCAAACGGGACTAAGATGGTATAAATGTATTCAATAATTATTGGAATGAAATATTTTATTGTGTTGCAATGAATGGCATTTTTGGAAGCTATTGTGTATGAAATGGTATAAATGGATGATTGCATCAATCATTTTGTAAGTTTTCTGTTTTTTTTATCAAGAAGCATGACAGCTACAGTGATATGTATTCTGGTACAATTAGCTTCTATTGAGCACCCAAATGCTTCTATTAGTAAAATACAGTTTGTGCAAACATGTGGAATTTTTTGACTTAAAAGTTATTCATAATTTTTTACAACAGGACAAAGGCTATTGGTATAATTGTGACTCAATTCTTTACTTATTGGTTTCCTTTTGGCTTATGATATTTGAATTGACTTCATTTCTTTTCTTTGTACTATTTTCAGCTGATTGTCCTAGGTTTGGAGATGGAAAGCAGTATAAAGAATGAACTCTACCCTGACACCTTTCATATGTCAAATCTTCAATCAAGTCTTAGGTCGACTAGTGATACCGGAAACAATGATTCACATGGTATGAACTTTAGCTGATTGCTTCAACTGATAATTAAATTTAGAAATGCATTTGGTATTAAGATTTGAATATCAAATAGATTACCGTTAATAAAAGAGGTATGATACGGTGCTCTTATTCCTGGGATTGCATCTTTATTTGAATAACCATCGAAGTGGAAAACTGAAGGTCTTCATTGGCATTTTAAAACGTCATATTATAAAAAGGTCTTCTTTGCTGGCTACTCTTAGCAGATTTGGATGATAGCAAATTTGAGCTTCTGTTGATTAACCAATGGTTTTTTCTCTCTTTTCCTTTCTTTGTTTGTCTAAGATTAATTAAAATTGAAAGAACTGTATCTCTCCTGTCCTTTCCTATTCTTTCATTTCAAACATTTTAAAACTGCGATTTGTGAATAATTATGTTAGTGAAATGCTGCTAAGTGGAGATATTCCCATATTTATGTCTGGTTTACTTATAGCCTGTTTGGCCAAGCTTCTTTTTGGCCAAAAGTGCTTTTTTTTTTTTTTTTTGCCAAAAGCACTTTTGACCAAAAATTGAGGTGTTTGGCCAAGCTTTTGGAAGGAAAAAAAAGTGCTTTTGAGGAGAAGCAGAAGCAGTTTTGGAGAAGCAGAAAAAAGTAGCTTCTCTCCAAAAGCACTTTTTTGAGAAGCACTTTTGAGAAAAATACACTTAGAAGCAGTTTTTTAAAGCTTGGCCAAACACTAATTGCTGCTCAGAAGTGCTTTTTAAACTAATTAGCCAAACACAAACTGCTTCTCACCAAAAGTACTTTTGAGAAAAGCACTTTTGAAAAAAAACACTTCTCAAAATAAGCTGATTTTTGCAGCTTAGCCAAACGGGCTATTAGTTGGCTCTCTCCAGCACATAGTTGTATTGATTGCACTGACTGTGATTAACATCTAATTCCAGACAGCGAATGGGACGACGTGTGGAATGATGATGGAGATTTGTGTCATGATTCTACTGATAAATTGGATAAAACATCTGAAATGGACAGGGAATGGCAGAGGCGGCATGACCAATTCCATACTGTATCCTTACAAGTTTAATCTGATTGAGAGTATCCAGAAAAACATAACTAGATGTATTCCTTTTGGTTGCAAATTCAATTTGTATTTGGTAATTCCTGATAAATTATCAGATTGGATACCGTGATGGTCTTATGGCAGGGAAAGAAACTTCAGCACAAGAGGGATTTAACATCGGTTTTAGGCACTCTGTATATGTTGGATACAACTGGGGTCTTGTCAGAGGTATCACTAGGTGAGTATGAGCATCTCTTTGATGGAATTTGTGGAGATTTGAGTTTGTATTACCAACTAGAAATTTTCTTCATGCTGCGTTGGATTTAAATTTGATCTTCTCTCTTTTTGTTTTCTTCCTCTTTGTTGAAGTGCTTTTGCCTCTCTTCCTGATGGCTTGAAAGAAAGAATGGTTGATACTAAGGAAATCCAGTATAAGTTCCAACACTTACACGAGTCGGTGCAATCTCGTTCAACAATGGAAGTGCTTAAGGTGTTCCATGATTATCTGTCAAAGAAATCGGAAGAGAGTGGTAAAGATGATAAATCCAGCTCCTGCTTGGCCGATGCCAATGACCTCATCCCCGATGACTATCTTCTGGACCATTACCAGAAAGAGCTACAATCACTTATTGATGAATCAGGGCTCAAATTGCACTTAGACGCAAAGCAATAGCTTTTCCTTCAGAAGTGATGTTTTTCCATCATACTCCTAGAAAATTGCATTCAGAAGAAAAAGGATAGTATACTTGAATGCATAGTTTGTATCTGGAATATTTCCATTTTCTAATATTATATGCAAGGTTTAAGTTGAAGTTGTGTGGCATTTTGAAGAGAAATAAAAAATTACTTTTTGACATGTTTGAGCTTGGCCCCATGAGGTAACTAATACTGAAGGAAAAAGGTAACTAATACTGCTAAAATTGTAGAAATTGGAAGTTTTAGATTCAAGAGAAAAGATATCAGTGTATTGCTATTGTTACTGCATAGGAGAATAGCCTGTTGAAAAGAGTTGAAATCACAGGTCTCATAAAGAAAGTCCAGCACCTTATAGTTCATGGCTAAATTGTCTGATGTTAGCAGCTCAGCATTTCAGCCTTATGATTATACTGTTAATAAAAAAACTATGAAAGGAATGTAGCAAAGAATTAATATGAAGTGGAAATTGTGAAATAATACCCTAAAAACCATGGCCTAAATATTGAAATGGAAAAAGGTGCTGCATTTGGGTAGATTAGTGGATACTTAAAGGCATGTCTAATGTCATCGATAAAGAATGATCAGTTGAAACACGAGAGAGCAGTATCTGAAATTAGGTAATCTTTAGGAGAAATGACTAAAAGTTTATGATAGAGGTGACTTGACTGAGCTGCAGTTGTTTCCTCTATACACGTGAAGCTACATTAAGTGTGCGGCTCAATAGTGTTTAAATCGTTCCTAACGCGCAGTTGTGACCATTTTGTTGCTTACCTTACTTTGCAGTTAACTCTTTGAACACTAGTAATAACCAATGTTTGAGCCGTTAAATTCAATTTGCTCATTTGTGATTACTGGTATCATGCATGTTATTGGCATTATTCAGATTGTAACCGAGATGACAGCTGAAGATCATGGTATCATAACATTTCATGGATACATACATGAAATATTAGCCAACTGTAGTTAAAGCCATAGATGAAAATACATAAAACCCTTAACAACACTAAAGCATGGATAGGCATCATCCTCGACAAATAAGCATAATAGCAGGTTCTATCAAATTATCGGAGAATCCATGATGATGTTTTCCATCATTCAATCCTAATCAACTCCCTTAATGCCATTAAGCTGAAATCTTTGCACATGCTGGAGGGTTGTGACTTGTGAGCAGCAAGCCAGTTGTTCTTGGACCCAAACAAACAGTTGCTCCTGGACCTAAGATTCTTGTTTGCTCCTAGAAATGTATTTTGTCTTGGGCTTTCTTGGTCTGACAGGCTTAATTTATAAAGAACTTGCTCCCCGCTGATGTCCACCTGTGCCACAATGGAAACATGTGTTTCGATGATTAACTCATCTATGGAAACAACTTTATGTAATTCAAGATTTGATCCTTATCATTCTAGTTTGATTATGAGCTACAAGGACAGGATTGTATCAAATTCTACGAGTTTGTAACTGACCTTGAACTGGCATCAGCGACAAGCTTGAATTGGTCTAGAATGTGCAAATCCTGCTGCGCTGCGCCTGAGGTGAGGTTCCCATTTAGATGTTGGCATGACTGTTTCAAAAGCTTCCACGAGCAATGCTACCTTTCTCTTGCGAGCTGGTGCAAGTTTGTCCACTGCTCGTCGGAGTGCAAAATCAACCATCCAGTCCTCTGCATTTTTCCTATCATCCATCATCTGATGCTTGAGATCAACTTTCTCTGCTTCTGGATCTGGCTCCACTGGCAGGAAATTTGGTGCTCGTGGATTGAATTCTTTTGATTCCCCTGGCTCCTCAATGTCAATGCGCCTGGTTATGCCTCTCAGGTTTGTGTAGCTCTCAGACAGTTCTACACTCAAATCATATTTATGTGTCTTCTTATCTTTAAATCTTGGTGCATCTTTGATTTGGTTCAGCTTTTCCTCACATGCCTCAGCTGTTGAATCTGCTTCGACACCAGAAGCGCTTTCAGTTCTCTTGAGATCTGCATCCACTACCAATTGTTTATCAGTACTGCCATGATCGTTTTCATTTCCTTGTTCGCAGCAATCTGTTTTTGTTTCTGCGTCTTCTATCTTGACAGCAATGTTTTCATCAGAACTTTTTTGATTGTCCTTGCATGTTTCATCTTGTACTTCATTGAAATTGCAAACATTTAGCTCTTGATACCCCATAGGTGTAGTTGCATCATCATCTTGAAGAGTTGTATAGTCCTCGCAAGAAGCTGAAATTTCATCTTCTAGACAGAAGGTAACAGCAACCTGATTATCCACTGTTGCTGCCTCGCCGTCTGCTAGACAGGGACCGCGCTCATCTTCTGTCTTCTCAGCTATTTCCTGTTCCAGAAAGAAAGTGGCATCCAGAGAGTTATTTGAGGTGTCCTCAGACGCTTCAACACACTCATCAATGTCAAACTCTGTATGCGAACAGGCAGATTGTGAGTCATCATAATCATAACTTATTCCAGAGATGATACTTCCGTTATCCAAGGTCTCTTCCAGAATAGATGATTTTTCCATAAACTCGTCGCTGCCAACTGAATCATCAACCAGTGTGATGGGCTCTATATCATTTGAGATTGAACCTGTTTCGCCTTCGCTATTTGCATAGTACTTCTCTACATCCCAGTCCATATCAGAAGCTTCAGACTCTTCTATATCTAATTCACTATGCATACTCAAGGATTCACAATCTGCTTCTTCAGTAGCACCTTCATTTAGAGAGAAGCCAAGGATAAAAAGTTCTGCTGAAATATCTTCTCTCTTTTGATCAAGATTGCCCTCTGTATCATCTGCTGCCACTTCACTGCCTTCATTCGAAGTTACTAGATCATCTGCCGAGTTTGTGTTTTTACTAATGGTATCAGCCATCTCTTCCCTTTCTTTGTCATAAATTTCGACAAAAAAATCTCTGTAGTCGTCTTCATTTGTCACAGGAGCTACCTCTGTAGGATTCAGTATTTGTTTTGGTACATTAGCATTCAAGCCTAATCCATGGGGATTAGCTCGACGGGGAGATAGGCATCCCAACTTGAAGTTCCTCTGAGTCTTTAATGCACGCCTTTTAGCTGACAAGAAACACTTTAATGGGGGCAAAGGAGGGTGATGATGGCCATTAAGAGAGCAATATGTGTAGGGGCAGACCTTAAAAACAGAAGTTCCATCTGATTCTGTTGCTCCGGGACTAAGTTCAAGGTATGAAGGAAACTTAGCTTCTTTCAAAGTTGATGAACATGTTGCTCTTTCAACATTGAAGTTTTCACACAGAACAACAGCTGGGGAACATGATTTCTTGGTTGAAGCTCTTACTGGTTTAAAACTGGGAGTTTTTGTGAGGGTGGTCCTCACTAGTTTCAAACTAGAAGTTCTAGCTAAACTTCTTGTTGGTTTATTAACAGAAGAAGCTGAGCCTAACTTTGAGTTATTGGAATTCTTTCTGCTAGAACTTTGAGAGTAAGATTGAGGGCTCCTTGAACTAACCTGAGACTGCTCTTTCCTTGCAACAGAACTGCTGGTGGACTTCATATAATTTGGAGTGGATGTTGACTGCTGCTGTTGCTGCTTCTTTGGTGTTGAAGAATTTGTAGTGGTATGAACAAGAGGTGGTGGTTTTCCTGGCTGAGGAACATGCCTTCTGAATTTGGGTGAGTGACAGATGTCATATTCTGAGAGCTTGGTTTTGCCTGATTTCTTCATCATCTTTGTCTTGAGGTCAGCTCCTCTGTTCTTGATATCATGTTTTGGTGATATTGGTAAAGATGGTTTGAGGTTCATCATTTGTTTGTTGGCTTTAATATGATCAGCTTTGATATCAAGCTTGTTTGGAACCTTTCTTTGCACCATCTTAGTTGGTTGGAATAAGATATATTCTTTTCAAAGGAAAACCACAAGGATTTTTGGTTTTCTTCTTCTTGAGATAGAGGACTTTGAGATCATGAAGAAAGGCAGTTTTTGAAATCTCAACTACCAGAGATTCTAAGTTTCTTTCCTTTGGTTTGCAGCCTTCTTTTTATTTTCTTGTCTTGTTTTCTTGTGTGTGGGTGTGTGTGGGTGTGTGGGGGGGGGGGGGTGCTTATTGCTTTTTGGTGTTTGATTTGTCATGTGGGAAATTATTAATAATATTAAGGTTAAGATAAGAATTAGATGCTGACCTGCACTAATTGGGAGGTCATGGGTCCCTGTGTGCCTTTTGGCTTATTTTATGCTCATTCTTTTTTTTTTTTTTTGGTTCCCATTTAATGTCTAGTACTCGCTTTGGAGTTCGATTAATCTGGATCCGCGCGGGAAGTTACACTTTGGTAAAGCGTTACCTACCAAAGGTGACTCCATACTCAGGGCTTAACCCGAGATCTTTGATTAAGGATGAACGCAACATTTGGTGGTTCTTTTTATGCTCATTCTGGTTTTGTATTATTGTGATATGTGACGAGGAAAGGGAACTCAAACATTTGGCATAATGGAGATTTAATTTGTTAAAGTATTAAGTGATGAGCCATTACAGATTTCCTGTGTAATGTTCTTATTAAATGACTCAAGTATCCTCAATTTTATACGTTAAGGGATGGCTTTATCCAGAAAAGTAACTTGCCATCTTGGGATGAGATTTGTTAGTTCTATAATTAAATAATTCTCCATATATTAAAGCTTAAAAAAATTACAAGTTTATACAAAATCATTTTTTTAAAATGACAATGATAGGAGTAACGATTTTAGTTAAATATCAACTTTGTTGGCCAACCATAATGGCATAAATTAAGGGAGCATAATATATAATTTAGCTGATTATGCATATCTTTAATATACCCAAATCGTTTGTTTTCAAGTATTAGATCGTATAAGAAATCATTATTCTAATTAAAAAGCCAAAACATGTAGAGGAACTTTTTGAAAATATAATATTAGGGATGGTGCTTGTTTCTTTCTTTCTTTTGCTTTATTAGTAAGATAAAAGAAAGTTAAAGAAATGGGAATTAGGAGAAGACAAATCTTGTATTCTAGAGTGATTTAGTTGACCATAGAAAATCCAAGTGCTCTTATATTTATTTTACTTTTCTGAAAAGAAGAAAAAGAAAAAAAAAAGTTAATGGAGATGGTCACAAAAAGGAATTTGAGCTAATGGTCGGCTAAAAAGTTTAGCTATTGTAGGACCACCACAATGAGGAGGAGCGTCTCTACGTACAGCAGATTTTCCAGACGCTCCACGTCTCTTTTTTTTTTTTTTTTTGGTTTCCCACCCGATGTCTGGTACTCGTATTGGAGCCCGATTATATCCGGATTCGCGCCCACGTAGGGCCCCATTCGGGGGGAAGCGCTCCCTACCAAGGACTTTCCCATACCAGGGCTCGAACTCGAGACCTCTGGTTAAGGGAAGAGCAGTCTCATCCACTGCACCACATCCGTTGGTGGTATTTCTCTTTAAGGAAGAAAAAAGTAGTTTTAAACTACCAACAAAAGTTCTCGTAAAGTGGTAAGTAATCTTTTATCCTTACTCAGAGGTCTCTCGCCTTTGTTAAATAGCGTTTTACCCGCAATGTAGAATTTTCTAGCGCGAATCTAGATATAGTCGGCCCTTAATGTGAGTTTTTCTGGCGTGAATCCGAATATAATCGGGCGCTACTACGGGTACTAGACACTGAATAGAAAACCAAAAAAAATAGTTTTAAACTAGAAAAAGACTGTCTGCATAACTTTTTTTCTTGAATAGTGAGCATTTATAAACTTTGATAGTAGAATTATTCTTGAATGTATAATTAAGTGGTTATACGTAATATATTTGAACTTATTCACTTATAACTGTTATTGTTGATGATAAAGAGGCTCTAAGAAAGAGATTTTGCATGTAGAATTTTACTGATCTAAGGAAATACCTAAAAGAAAATCTAAGGGAATGATTCAACGATCGAATACCCAATTATCTTATATTTAACAATTTGATATTATTTCTTTTAGATAAATTTATTACTTTCCGAGAATATCATAAACAATCTTTCTATCTTCACGAGAAAGTGGTAAGGTCAGCGTACACAACTTTTCTCATACTTCACTTGTAAGATTACACTGTATTTATTATTGTTATTATTGTCACTTTTCGAGAAAAAAATTAATGAACGTAACGCGATTACCATCTGACAAAAATTTACTTGACCAATTGAACCAATATAGATTTTTGACACATGAACCAATATAGATTTTTGACACATGATTGTTGTAAAGGTTAAATTACTTGAATTGTGCAACTTTGGATGTGAATAAGTTATTTACCCATCGTGGAGCCATATTGAGGGTCAAAATTTAGGTGAAATAACCTATTTGTTTGAAAAAAAAAATTAAAAAAAAATAGTGATTATGCATTTATGCTTATAAATTACGTACAGTATCAATTTTCATTATTTTGATAAAATAGTATAACTAACTCAATAATGCAAGTAATCACTTCTTTTTCTGCAAAACAAAAAGGATCACTTCTTTTTGTCCCTAACTATCTGAACACCGCCCATGAAAAATGTGGATATTAATCGGAGTCATTTCTTACTAGAAGTTGGCCGGTGCTGTCATGTCTTGTCAAATGTAAAAATTACGTCTAAAATATTATTCCCACTTAATATTTATATTAAATCAATAAATACAAGATTCATATCCAATCAAATGTACATTTCTTACTTGTAGATAACTTAGTTTCTGGACATGTGTGTCCCATGTTAATTTATAAAGACTTTTTAAAATAATATTTTAAGGTGCTGCCGAATTATGGGTCGGTCTGAGCCAGATGAATTGACAGCGGCCCAAATTTTTTACCCATGCATGCAAAATGCTGACATATTCTTCCTTAAGGTAAAGCTGTTTTATAACTGACTATTTGTAATAATTTCTTGTTCAGTTAGCATAACTTAAATATAAGCATCTTATATTTGTGAGACTTTATTGGGCATAATAGAAGCAGGGGCGTACGCAGGAGTTTTCGTAAGCGGTGTCGACATTTAAAAAGGTGAACAATAAATAAAACACTAATAAAATCCTATTTCATATATTTTTTTTTTAAAACAATAATTCAAGTACCCTAATACAAATTTCTCTTGGACGAGTTCTAAGTAATTGTATCTACAATAGACTCATTAGAAAGAATATTCTATGAATCATTAAAAGTATTTTTGGCAGTGAGATATACCAACGGGATGCTGTCGCGGATGGTGGCTTCTTTTCCCACAATAATGTTGAAAAATTTTATAAAAAAAAACCAACCTAGCAAGGGTTCGAAGTCTTGACTTCCACCCGGAAATCTAGATGCTTTACCAGCGAGCCACCGAAGCTCTCTAGTCAGGCGGTCTTATTTCAGCTCTATTTATTGCTATGTTGTTTTACGTAATATTATTTTATATACATATTAATTAAAAAAATCATCGACGAAGCGGTGTTGGATGACACCGCTCGGATCAACGTGCCTCCGCCCCTCAATAGAGGCACCTTCACATGGCTTTGTAAGAAGTTCTGGGAGAAGTGATTAGGCAGGACATGGCGTTACTTCACCTCACTAAGGACGTGACCCTAAATAGGAAAGTATGGAGGTCGAGAGTTAGGGTTGAAGGTTAATAGGGAGCCGAGGGTGACTCTTAGGTGTTACCGATAGTATTAGTAATATTCTTATTGCCTGTTCCTAGACCTTTTTATTATATGGGTTTCTTTCTTACAGATTGTATTAGTAATATTTTCTTATCTCTACATATTTGTTAGTATACGTGAGTCCTTGTTTTCTTTTCTATTCTTTTCTTGTTGTTGTTATGGTTTGCTTCCTTATCACTGTTTCCTGAGCTGAGAATTTATTGGAAACAGCCTCTCTACCTTCATAAGGTAGGGGTAAGGTCTGCGCATATACTACCCTCCCTAGACCCTATTTGTGGATTACACTGGGTTTGTTATTTTTGTACTTTTTAAAACAGTATAGATGATATTAAAACGTGTAATAGTGAGTATTTGGAAATTTGAAAGGGAAGTACAAACTAAAATTGATGAACAGTAAGCCTATTCGAATCATCGAATGGCTTGATAGTTCGTAGTTGTAAAAAGTCAACTGAATTGTTAAAACCCTTTTTTATGAAGTTCCTCTAGCGTATCAAATATTCATGTTGACAGTTTTCATATTTGTTGATATCTCATAATACCTTATAGCAACATATATCGCTTTTAGTGTTTATGTTATGTAGAATAAGCATCCAGAAATTACATTCTTTTGTATTCTACATAAAAATATTTAAAAAAGACCGTTCATTTAACATGTATCATCTCAATATTATATATCAAGCTAATACTAAGAAAATCTTTCCTATAACTTAGGCATTAACCAATTGGAAAACTAACAGACCTAAGAATGTATGTGTAAAGGTTAAAAAAGGCAGTGTCTGCCTTAACTTCGTAAGCCCTTTAATATATTGTTAGGTAGGACCTACTCCTCTTCAGGAAATAAAATAGAACAGGGAGGCTCACAAACATAATGCAATCAATAGAAATTGAATTGGTCTAGCAAAAAAAATAAAAAAATAAAAAATTACCTATCAAGATGGTATTGAGCAAAACACACGCAGTCGATTTTTGAGATAAAGAGAATTTTTTAGATGGAGAAGAAAAAAGAATAAAATGATTTGACACTTTTGTTGAGCACTTTTATTTTATATAGTGCAATAATGATATGAAAATGCTACATATAGTTGTTATTATCGGTGGAAAGTCGAAGACAAAGCAAATAAAGCTTAGAATGTGAAAAGGCTACAGTGTAAATAGTATTACAATTACTGCAAAAACCTGTTTTTTGTATTTCATGACTACGATATTTTAACACTTGATAAGAGCTAACACCTGGATTTCTTTGCGTTTAATAAGCATAAATTTGTTTTATGCGTATGTACTTAGAATAAAGCTTCAGACTATTATCATAACAGTCCCAAAGTTATTCTTGTCCGACTTTCAAGATGTTTAGATACGAAACTTATACACCCTTTGGTAGAGCAATTACTAACACAATAAAAATAGGGAAAAGAAG